GACCTTGCGCTTGCCAGGCAGGCGCTTTGCCGCTGAGCTAAATCCCCAGCCCCAATCCCCTATTGCTATGTTGTCCTTCTTTTACTCTTTAAAATTTATTTATTTATTTTTTTCTGGTACCAGGAATCGAACTCACGACTTCGTGCTTGCCAGGCAGGCGCTGTGCCGCTGAGCTAAATCCCCAGCCCCTTACTCTTTAAAATTAAAAAAAAAAAAAAAAAAATCACTGTAGAGCCCAGCCTGGCCCCAAACTCTCGGATCCTCCTGCCTCAGCCTCCCGAGTGCTAGAATTACAGACTTGTACCACCACCCCGAGTAGTGTGTTTATTTTTTTTACACAGGGTCTCTCTGTGTGTCCCAGGCCTATTTCAGACTCCACAATCATGCCCCAGCCTGTGAGATTACAAGTGTACACCACCATGTCTGGCTAAGTGTGTTCTAAAATGTGTGTGCAGATGGTCTCTGATTTATAGTGATTCAGTTTAGGATTTTTTTCCTTTACTGTGGTGTGAAAGTAATACACATTTGGCAGAAAGCTATACTTAAATTTTTAATTTTGACCCTTTTCCGGGCTACCAGTCTGCAGTATGAAATTGTCGTGAGACATCGGGCCATGCAGCAAGGCCTGGCTCCTAGTTGGCCACAAGGTAGGTTGGATGAGCAAATGAGTCTGTGGCTTACAGTATCTCCAGCTGGTGGGTGTGTCCACGTGTGACAGTAACCGTAAGCCAGGCGATCCGGAGCTCGCTGTCTATGTGGCTGGCTCTACTTTGTCCAGCATTTCTAAATGTTTGTAGGAGGAGTGAGTCTACATTAGCTCAGTCCATTATGCTGCAGAAGCAGATGTCTTCCTTTTTTTTTTTTTTTTTTTTTTTTTTTTTTTTGAGACAGGGTCTCGCTATGTAGTTCAGGCTGGCCTTGAGCTCATTTCGTAGCTCAGGCTGTTCTTGAACTTGCAATGACCCTCCTGCCTCAGCCTGCCGAGTGCTGGGATTACAGGCGTGCTGCACCATGCCTGGCGTCTTTTATTTTTTATTGTAGGTTCTGTTTTAAAATTAAGTGAACTTGTAATGGAATTTGTTTCTGCTGAAGATTTCTAGGGCAGGATAGTGAAGAGGAAGAGTTCATCAGAGGTGCCAGCTATGGTGGTTGTCACAGTAGTTGTCATCTCAGCTTAGTTGAATCTAGGCCCATGGAGGGAGAAACGACCTGAATTTTTCTGTTGGGAATAGAGGTGGAAGGCAAGCAGAGCTGCATGGTAGAGCTAATCCTGACCCCTTGTGGCTGAAGAGTTGATTGACTGTAAAATCCCAAACTGTGGGGGAAGGTCATACATGTCTGAGAGAAACGTGGTGTGCCCCAGGTTTATTTGAGACTTCTTAGTTAGAAGCCCTCTTACAACCCCCTCTCTGCAGAAGCTTGGCTTGTGGTTTGTTTTCAGTATGACCAGAGTCAAGGTGAAAGACCATTTTTCCAGGAACAGAAATGACGGTGGGGTGGGAAAGAGCCAGGAGAGACAGGTAATGGTCTTCGGCAAGGCTGAAGGATGAGAGTGTGAGGCAGGAGGCCAAGCGCTGGTAATGCTGATGCCTGAGAGTGAGAGGAGCCGAGGCAGCCTTGCTTGTTACACAGTGGTGCGCTTTGTGCCCCGCCCAGCTTAGCGCACAAATAAGTTTCCAGGCCCAGTGAGGACCCTTCCTGTACAGGGGTTTCAGAGAAATTTCTTTCTGGTCCGAAGATTTGAATGTTTCCTGTGCTGTTAGGTCTCAGAAATTCTGATGCAGTATGTTGTTGATCTTTCGTGTCCCTAGAACCGAGCATGTTGTCTGGTTTACACCAGATGTACAGAAAACCTTTCTAAAAATGGACCGTTTGCCACCTTCGGGGCCATGCTCAGCTTGCGTGCAGGGTATCCCAGAGCAGGGGCCCTGACGCCTGTCTCTTTCTCCCAGCTCCGACCACGACCGGCTGCACACCTTGGTCACCGAGCACTGCTTCCCGGTAGGTTCCCAGCCTCGGTGGGGCGCCCGAGGGGACAGGTGGTAGGCACCGCCTCTGGGTTTTCTTAAGAAGGATCTGTTCTGAAGTCAGAGGACGGTTAAGGCGCAAGCCTAGGTCCCTTGTTCTCAGCTGAGCAGCCGTGATTGGATGTGGCCTGTGGTAAGGGCCGTGGCAAGTGAGGACAGGGAAGGTCCCTGGGCGGTGGCCCTGCAACCACAGGTAGAGCTGAGGTCGGGAGTGGCAACACACTGCTCCTCCGCGAGAGTCTACACCACACAGCGGCTTGTGTTACACAGCGATGGGATATCTTGCTCTCTGCGGCTCAGAGGTTCAAGCGTAATTCATTTTCTACAAATTCAGCTTCAGTTTCTACCGGTCTCTCCAGGGACGGGTGCAGCAAACCTAGTCTTAGCAGCATAGCCCCGTGCCCCTGGAAGAGTCGCGCCTCTCCCTGTGGGAAGGTGCGGGGCAGAAGATGCCCAGCCGGCAGAGGTACGCGCAGCGGCTGGTGGTTGTGACGCGGTGCCTGGGGTGCACTGGGGGTGCACGGGGTGTGGTTCTCACTGCCTTGGAGAAGGGGCGCCAAGGAGGTGGGTAGGTCTCAAATTATGAGTGTCACGAGGTGAGTGTGGCCCGTCGCTTAATCACACCCTGAGAACAGGCACAGGAGGGCCTCTGGTGGGAAGCGCAGCCTCAGCGGAGAAGTGCAGGGAGGGAGAGCAGGGCGGGCCACCATACTCCCCGCGGCCTTGTTCTCTCCGCTTAGGACATGGTCTGGGACCTCAGATACAAGACCGTCCGCTGGAACTTCGTGGAGTCCTTGGAGCCAGCGCGGGTGGCTCAGGTTCGCTGCTCCAGCCTGATGAGCCAGGGCAACATGTACGGCCAGGTCACCGTGCGCATGCACTTGCGGCAGGTAGGGGCTCGGCGCGGGGCTGTGGGTTGGGATGATTTGTTTCTGCAGTGCTGGGGATTGAAGCCAAGACCTGGTGCGAGTAAGGCAGCTGCTGTCCCCTGAGCTACAGCCCAGCTCCCGCGCTGTAGCTTCTAAGGAAAGAGTCACCGTGGTCTTCCTGGCTCTGTCCTACGACATGGTGTAGGTGTTCTCGCATCCTAGCAGTTGATCAGTTAGTCCTAGATTCACAATTCTGGCATAATTTGTTCAGAAAATGATTGGCAAAAGCAAAAAACCAACAATAAAAAGCTGAGAGCCAGATTGACTTCTGTCCCCACAGACTTTGGCTATCTATGATCGGTTCGGCCGGTTGATGTACGGGCAGGAAGACGTGCCCAAGGATGTGCTGGAGTACGTGGTGTTTGAAAAACACCTGACGAATCCCTATGGGAGCTGGAGGATGCACGCCAAGATTGTTCCCCCATGGGCGCCCCCAAAGCAGCCCATCCTTAAGGTGAGTTGGCTGGACGGTGTCCTCCTGAGCTGTGCTTCTCGGGCTCCACCTAGTGGAGAGAGGGGATGGTGCAACACCAGGGACCTAGGGCTGGCTTGGTAGTTACACAGCCTTCTGCTCTTTCAGACGGTGATGATTCCTGGCCCCCAGCTGCAGCCATGGGAGAACTGCAAAGAGAGCCCAGGAGAGGCCCCCAGCCCCCCGCAAGCCTGAGGGAAAGATGCAACATGGGTGGCGAGGCTGCTGGAGGCCACCTGTTTCCTCCATCCTCGTGGGTCTTCCCGGCAGACTTGTTGCAGCCATGGCTCAGGCTGGTCTCAGAGATGGCTGAGGTGCACAGCGATGGTCCCTTTCCGTCTTTTTTTTTTGTCTTTTTGAGACAGGGTCTCACTATGCAGTTCAGGCTGGCCTTGAGCTCACTTTGTAGCCCAGGCTGGCTTTGAACTCGCCTCAATCCTCCTGCCTCAGCCTCCCGAGTGCTGGGACGATAGGCATGCACCACCATACCCAGCCCCTCTCCATCTGTCCAGCTTCTGAGTCTAGGTAAAGGGCAGTATGTCTAGAAGAACAAAAACCTGTGCCAGTTTGATTTCTCACGGCAGAGACTGGGAGCAGACGGGCAGCGTTCACTGTGGGCAGGGATCAGAAGCTGAAATAAGATGCTGTCGGGCGGTGGGTTTTGTTCATGCTGTGGGTTCAGGCAGGGAGCAGACCAGCCTTCAGACGGCAGAAGGGCAAGGCAGGCACACGGTGAGTGGTGTGACTTCCAGGACGTCCAGACCTGGATTAGAATTAGTGTGTGTAGAATAGGGCAGCACTCAAGAGTGTGTTTTCTCATACACTGACCGACTGAATCGGCATTTACATTTTCCAGAAGAACAAATGCAGAGAAAATTTATCCCTCAGCCTTTGGCTCTTGTTTTTTGCTGCTTCCCGTTGGGCTCTGAAAGTCTGGGAGGAGGCAGGAGTAAGGCGCGCTGATGCCTTTGAGAAATTCCTCCACTGTTCTTCCAGCCCCATGTGGGGAGTGACAGCCCAGCCCTTCTCGAGCCTTGAAAGCTGTGGGGCTGTCAGAGGGTGTGGGCTGGACGTGCTGTGTCCTGTGTCATCTGGGAATGACGAGAGAAGTCACTCTCTGCCGGCAGCACGCGTGGCTCGTGGTACTGGTGCTTTCATTACTCTAGTGCGGGCCCTTTAGAAGCGGCCTGTCCCAAGTCCGGGGGGTCTCCCATTCAGTGCCAGCCGGGCAGCATGGGAAGACTGTGTCTCAAGACATACAGCTGGGAGCTGGGTGTCGTGGCGCACGCCTGTAATCCCAGCACCTGGGAGGCTGAGGCAGGAGGATTGTCCCGAGTTTGAGGCCAGCCTGAGCTACAAAGTGAGCTCAAGGCCAGCCTGAACTGCATAGCGCGACCCTGCCTCAAAAAGACAAAAAAAAAAAACAACAGCAAAAAAGATACAACTGGAGGTAAGACTTCCTGGTAGAGCACTTGCCTAGCATGTGCAAGGCCCTGGGTTCTGTGTCCAGCACCCCAGAAACAACCAAAAAAATTTACTTTTTTTTTTTTTTTTTCTTTTTTGGTACTGGGAATGGAACTTAGGATCTTGCACTTGCCAGGCAGGCACTGTGCTGCTGAGCTACATCCCCAGCCTCCTGCTTGCTTTTTTCAAGCCTAGCACTTTGCTTTCAGGAGTCTGTTACTTTTCTCTTTTGCGTGGTGGGGTCGGGACCCAGGGCCGTGGGTATGGCACGCTAGGCAAGCACCACTGAGCTACGTACCCCACTCCCCCGGAGCCTGTTGCTTCACATAGGCACTCATCTCTTCTGCTCTTGCATTGAGTGGGTTCCCAAGAAACTGGAATCAGGTCAAAAATAAAGAACCTAACTCTTATCTCTCTGAAGCTACCATTTCAGCAAAACAGCATGTAGAGGGGGCTGTGGAACATCGGTGTTTTCACAGCAGCTGTTGTGGGCCGACCTCGGGAGCGGAGCTGTGTGTGCTTCGGGCAGAGGCAGTGCCGGGGGCTAAGCCCAAGCAGCCACCCTGATGCGATTTAGTCTCAGCCCTTCTGGCTTAAAATGTGCATGTGTGTACAGCGTGCGTGCCGGGGGCTGTGGGCACATCCTATTTGCCCGAGCCCTGGATTAAGGCAAAGGGGAAGTGCTTTGAGCGGGAGCTGTAGCCGGGAGTAGGAGGAAGGGGGGTAATCTTGCGGGGTAGAGGGGCAGAAAACCCAAAAGGCACACTTAATAGGCAGCCATCAACGTTGATTTCTCTTGAGTACATAAGAACTGCTTCAAATGTGCAGTCCCGCCCCGTTCTCCTGGGTGTGTCGGGTGTCTGGGTAATCCTGAACAGCAGCGGAGCAAGAGCTGCCATCAGGGAGCCAGAGGATAAGTGCACTTTTCATTTCCCCGTGGGATCAGTCCAGCTGAGCAAATGCCCCAGAGGTGAAGGGTTGGCGGGAGGCGCAGGCAGAGCTCATCCGCAGTGTCAGCTGGCGCTCTGGGCACTGGCCAGGACAGAGCCAGACCCCGCGAGTCCCACAGGCCACAGTGTCGTCATCCTGCACGTCAGAACCACCACTGTTCTTACTCTGTCTGCTGTGCTGTGTTGAAAAAGACCAGGCATGGTTGTGCATGCCTGTCATCCCAGCACTTGGGAGGCTGAGGCAGAATTGCCCTGAGTTTGAAGCCAGTCTGAGCTATATCCTGTCTCAAAAAACCAAAGGTGGGGAAAGAAATAACTTGGTGTGATGGCACACGCCTCTAATCCCAGCACTCAGGAGGCTGAGGCAGGAAGATCCCTGAGAGTTTGAGGCCAGCCTGGGTTACATAGTGAGTTCAAGCTCAGCCTGAAAACAGCAAGACCTTGTCTCAAAAAACCAAAAAAAAAAAAAAGACCATTACGAATAAACCAGAGCCAACTGCAGCACTTCAGAAAAAGCATTCTTTATTCCTTCACCTCTGTAGTTTATTTCACAAGTCAGTGTGGGGGCGACATTGCTCTCCACAGGTGGATCAGACCCCACAGGATTATTCTGGGACACACGGTTGCCAAAGCCCACACTGGCTCAGCAGCGGTGGGGTTAAGTGGGCAGAGGGCAGAGGCACAACCTGCTTCCGTCACCACTGTGAAGCCCAGGGCAAGGGCAGCTGTCCCCTGAGGAGGAAGAGGGCTGCCTCCACCCTCCGCCCCTTTGGATGTGGAACGCGCGGCCTGTCCTGGGAGGCCCTGTGGCTGGCAGAGCACCTGCACTCCTTGTCTCCCCTGGATGTGTGGTCTTCGCCCTTTCCCCCGCCAGGGGTGGCATCCACCCGTACTGCTGGAGGGCGTCCAGGGTCCCTGCCACCTGTGCCCCGTTAGCCTCCTGTCTCCCCACCTCTCCTCCACCACTTCGGGGACTTGCTTGGGTGTTTTTCTCCTCCTGCTTCCCTCTGGATGGTCATCTAATCCCTGCAGTTACCTAACACTGCTCCGCTGTCAGGGAGAGGAGAGCCGAGCTGCCTGGGAAAGAGGGCTTTGTATTTACCCGCTCCGTCCTGCGCCCTCTAACCTGCCCTGCAGCTGTGCTCTTTGCGGGCAGAGGTGGTCCCAGTGCTGGCTTCCTCAGGCTGTGCCGGAGAGGAGACTGATGTGGCTGTCACTCGAGCAGGGCCGGTTGCACTCACAGCACTGGGAGGCCAAGAGGAGGGGACAGAACCGGAGAAAAAGGGATAAAAAAGCCAGCAGGAGGCCCGCGAAAGATGCCCGGAGAGCTGCTCTGCCTTCCCCGCTCCGTTCCTGATGTCGTTCGGAGGCCAGATGCTGGCCCGGGCGTCCGCGCCTGCCTGTCTGCTGCGGTCAAGCAGGGCCGGTGTGAGCAGCAACGAATCGGACACGAGATTCAGAGGGAGAAGACTCCTTCCTTGGTGCTTTTCAGGCAGCAATTTTGAGGCCTTTTAGTTGTCCTGTTTATCTTTCCATTTGAAGTGGAAAGCTGCTTGCTAAGCTTTGGTGGAGACTTTCTACCTGCCGTGGGCCCCAGGCCCGGCATTGCCATTGCCTCGCATGGTCGAGCTGCTTCTCCCCCAGTGCTGCTCTCCTAGGCCACAGAGAATTGGGTCTCCCTGCTCTGGAACCTGCTGATGTCCTTTCTGGCTGAGCCGGCCTTAGGGGCAATGTCCAACTCTCATCTGAGAGCTCCCAGTGGGTGGGAGGGAGCATCCTTAGAAGCAGAGGGTCTGGCTTTTGCTTGCTTGCTTTCTTTTTTTGTTTGTTTTTTGTGTTTTTGAGACAGGGTCTCCCTATGCAGTTCAGGATGGACTTGAGCTCACTTTGTAGCCCAGGCTGGTCTCAAACTTGCAATGATCCTTCTGCCTCAGCCTCCCAAGTGCTGGGATTACAGGCGTACACCATCACGCCTGGCCTAGGCTTTTGCTTTCTTGGGCAGGAAGGAAAGCTAGTTTGTAACATGAAGGTAAGCCCTCCCTTGGGGTTTGAGCCCTACCCTTCTTACTAATTTTTCATTTGAGTGGATGTCTGGCTTCTTGGGGAGGGGAAGTGGCTAAGTGTCTGAACGCTAGGATGTGGGAATGCCCTCAGCTCCCGAGGGCCAGCTCTGTGACCTCACCTGATGGCGCTGTTACTCGCAGTCCCAAGGATAAGCAGGGGGACAGCTGCCAGTGTCCTCTTGAGCTCCCGAGGCCACTTGTCCTTGGTCCTCAGCTAAGGGGGAAGACTTCTGAGTCTCGGCTTCTCGGAGACTGAGCTCGGGGGTGATGCTGGTCCAGGGCCCTGAAGGTCCCTGCAGTTCTCTGACACCTTCCTGGGAACTGGCAGAACCCGCCACCTTGCTCCCCTTGGTCCCCTCGGGGTGGGAGCTCTTGCTTTCCGGAATGAAGCTGACCGGGAGGCACAGCGACTTCTCAGAGGTCGGGGGGACATTCTCTGTCTGAGCCGCTATTAAAGCCAGGAGCCCAGGTTCCTCACACGGGGCTTGACTTTCTTCCCAAGGACAGATGTCTGCCATGGTGCCCCTTATTTTATTTCCTTCTGGATCTGTGACCTCCCACTGACAGAGCTCTGCTATCTGGGTCCCCACGCTGCCTGCTCCGTGGAGGCTGCATCTGTCATAATCAGCGTCCAGAGCGTCTCCCGGGGGAACAAGGCCCTCTGACCCTGTGCCATGCCAGAGGCCAGCTGTGTCCTGTTCTCTGCTGAGTGTCATTGCCACTTCTGAAAAGTCTCCTTCAGCTCCTGCACATCCTGCCTTCTGGAGAAAAACCTCTTCTTGCCCTTGGGACCGTCCGGCTGCCTCCTGTGCCAGGGTCCCTTCCCCTGCTGCCCCTGGACCCAGCTCCCAAGGGCAGACCTCTGCTTTCTTGGCGGAGGGCGTCTCTTCCGCATCCCACGGACACACTTCCGCCAGCCCGGCCCCCACTTGGCCTGCGGCCTCTGATCTACCTCTGTGTGCCTCAGAAGTGCACGGGGCCGGCTGTGACAGGCCACCACTATCCCGACTATCCCCGGAATGCACAGCCTCCAGCTTCCTGCGGTCTGCCAGCTTGGGCATTTCCTGAACTGCCACCCCTTGGGGCTCTGGTCTTCCCAGGGCTCCTCCTGTCCCCTCTGGAGAGTCTCCCTTTCCATCTTGTCTTGAAGCTCCTTTCTCAGGGACTTTCTCCATGGCCTCCCAGGGGCAGATCTCAGCCTTGGCCCTGCTGTCAGCTTTGTACACGTCCGGGTCAGAAGCATCCCATGGGCACATGTGGGCAACGCTGGCCCCCGCACTGCCCGGGGCCTGGAAGCTGGCTTCCGGTTGGGCAGGGTGCTGGCTGGCTGGGTGGGACAGAGAGCCCTGTGGCGCCCCGCTGTCCCTTGGACGGACAGACTGTTGCGCCTCATTTGTTTCTCCCGTGTCCTCAGCCGTGGATTCTGCTTTTGAAGCTGGCGCTTCTCCCTGGGGCTGGTGCCCCGGGAGGGAGCCTGGCTTTGAGTCGTGTTTCAGGTCCTCCTTCTCTGTCGCTTCTGTACTCACTTCCAAGGACAAGTCTGAGACTTTGGGGACTGGGGAAGATGATTCCCTCAAGTCCTGGTCCTCCCAAGGGCAAATAGCTTCCTGCTCTTGGCAGAGTTTTGCCTCCCATTTTGCTACACCATGTCCCAGGGAGGGAAGCCTTCCCTTCTCCAGAATTTCCTCCCTGCGCCCCAAAGACTTACTCCCCACATCTTGTTCTCCTCCCCTCCCGGTAGCTCCTTCACTCACCTCCCAGGGACAGATCTTGGCTTTGTCACTGGTGGGAGCTTCCTGCACTTCCCAGGGACACGCCTCAGCTGGCCTGCAGCCCACGCGGCCCAGGTCCTGGGATCCCGCTCTCGGCCCCTCAGAGTCCAGAGTGTCCTCACGCTCACAGGACTCCCCTGGACCTGAGGCCTCCCAGGGACAGGCCTCCAGCACTGGCCTCCCTGGCTTCTGTGTCTCACTGGGCCCAGAACCTGCGCAAGCCCTTCCTGCAGCGTTTGGAGATTTTCTAATGGCCTCAGCTCCCTGAACCCTTCCGTCCCCGGCTCCATCACCCACCTCCCAGGGACAGATCTGCGCCTTCTCGGCCACCAGGGCGTCCTCCACGTCCCACGGGCAGACCTTGGCAGCCCTGCTTCCCATGCTGCCCGACCTCTGGGAAATAGCTCGGGGTCTCTCTGAGTCTTGGGGACCGGGCGGTGGGGGTGCACTGCTGGGTCCCACACTCTCCCAGGGGCAGACTGCCTCCTGCTTTGGCATCTGTGCCTCAGGCTTCTCCCTCGAGGCGACACCTTGGGTTCCTGCTTTTCCAGGCGTCTTCTCCGTAGCCTTCTGAGGGTCTCCTGAAGCCGTCCGTCCGGAAGTCCCATGCTCTGTTCCTTCATTGCCCTCCCAGGGACAGACCTCTGCTTTCCTGGGGTCAGGAGCGTCTCCTGCCTCCCACGGACACACCTCGGCAACGCTGCTGCCTGTGCTTCCTGAGGCCTGGACGGGGACGGCCGAGGGGCCCCGGAAATCTGTGCTCTCCCAGGGACACAGAGACTCCAGGTCTCCAGGTGGCTTCTGTCTCCTCCAGAAGGCTGCTTTCTTGGGGGCGCTGTGCCCTTCCTGGGGGAGCTTCCTCTCTCCTGGGGGCGGTGTCTCCTGCCCCCCTGCACCCACCTCCCAGGGGCACAGCTCTGCCTTGGCAGGCGGAGGGGAGCGAGCCTCTGCGCCAGGGGCCTCCTCCCGAGGCTTCTCCAGCTTCTTCCCGTCCGCACGGCCCGAGCCCGTGGCCCCAGGGTCGGCGCCCTCCCAGGGACACACAGCCTCCTGGCTCCGCACCAGCCTCTCTGGCTTCTTCCGAGCTGTGACAGCCGCCCCTCTGGGCTCCGGTTTGCCCGTGGGTGTCCCCCTCTCGCCCTGGGAGTCACCTAGGTGCTGTCCTGATGCCGTCCTCTGGGGGGTTCCCTCACTGACCTCCCAGGGGCAGACGTGGGCTTTGCTGCCACTGTCCAGCCCACCCGAGTCTGACTGCGCTTCCCAGGGACACGCCTCTGCCACCCCGCAGTCAGCACTGCCCAGCGGCTGGAGGCCACTTTTGGGCGGTTCCTGACGCCCTGCTGGGGCCTCCTTGGCCTGCTCAGCACTTTTGTCCCCAAAAACTTGCCTCAGCGTGGCAAGCCCTGGTCTCCCCACCCGCTCAACTCTGTGCTCCCCTAGGCCCTGGGAGAGCTTCCGGCCTCTGTCCTCTTCTCTTCTGCCCTCCTGGTGACGGACTTGGAGCATTCTGCTGGTGTGCGCGTTCTGCTGGTTCTGCAGGGACTCCTCATCGTCACAGGGTGCCAGGGCCGCCTGCTTGCTCACCGCCTTGGGCCGGCCCAGCCTGGGAGACCGGGGAGCCACGGCCACGGCCGCTCCCTCAGCCCTGCCCTGCTCTGCCCGGGGGCTGTCCTCGCTGCCCTCCTTCTCCCTGTACGAGCTCCGGGATCGCGTCAGCGCTTTGATGGCCAGGCCCAGGCTGCGCATGGAGCCCTGCTGCGCGGGCGTCTTGAGGCTGTGGGATTTCGAGAAGATCTTGGGCCTGTCCTCATCCCCGCCATCTGCTTCGCCCTGCAGTCGCCCGTCCTCCGTGTCCATCTCATTGTCCCCTGCCACCCTCTTCTCTACCGCCACAGAGAGGGCTCTCCAGAGCTTGGCTCGAGCTGGGGTGAGGGAGTGGCCGCCTTGCTCCAGCCCCGAGACACCCTCCTGGGTCATATTTTCTTTCTTGGCCGGCAGCTCCGCATTCTCCCAGGGGCAGATGTAAGTGAGTAAGGTGGGGCTTTGGGGGGGTGCTGGGGCCGGTGCCAGGGCAGGGATGGGCACTGGGGCCAAGGTTGAGCTGGGAGACAGCATGTGTGGCTCTGCCAGGCAGGCGGCAGACAGGCCCAAGGTGGGCGAGGAGACCTGGTGACGGATCGGTGGGTGAGGCAGCCTCCGGCCACTCTCGTCCCGGAGCGTCCCGGAGGCCTGAGAGCTGTCCATGCTGCTGCTCTTGGCAGGGGACGGTGGGGCAGACAGGGGCGCAGCCCGGGCCCGCTCCAGCCTCCTGGGCGATGGCCTCCGCAGCGGGCTGACCGCGGCGGCCTCAGCTCTTTTTTGCTCCTGTCTCTCCTTCGCCTGCTGATAGGTCTCCTCCAGGTAGGCCTGGCTGGCCACCAGCAGGGCCTTTTCCCTGGTGCTGGCCACAACGCTGAGCGACTTCTGCAGGGAGCTGGGCCGGGCCCGGGGCAGCCGCTCGCTCACAGTCAGGTTGTGGGCGCTGGCTGAGCGGAAGCCCAGGGTGGGCGGCCCCGAGGCAGGCTCCCGGCCCTCCAGCCCCAGGGCCTTCCTAGACGGGTTCCTCTGCAGCGTGGAGCCCAGGAGGGGCGGCTCCTGCTCCCGGTGCTGGTGGTGCTGATCGTAGGTGCTGTGGGACCTGTGCAGGGCCAGGGACCCCTCAGCATCCTGGTGGCCGGCGGCGCTGAGCAGCGGGCGGCGGGAGGAGCCCGCGCGGCGGGAGGAGCCAGGCAAGCTGTTGCCGCCCAGGGAGCCGGAGTCCCGGGAGTGCTGCCTGGCCAGGGCCTCGGGGAACTCGGCCAGGTACCTCATGAAGGAGCGGCCCAGCCCCTGGCGGGAGCTGCCCCGCTTCTTAGGCAGGTGCGGGTTGTTAGCAGCCATCTCCTTGGTCTTGCGGACCTCCAGCTGGGTGTACAGCTTCTTCAACTCCTCCTGTGGGCGCGAGGGAGGACAGCAGAGCTGCGGGTGAGGTAGGCGGCATGGGCCGTCGCATCTCTGTTTATTCTGGGGACCTTTCACATCAAGCTGGGTCCCTTCTCTGCTCCAAAGAATCAGAATTCTAGCCAGGTGTGGTGGTGCACGCCTGTCATCCCAGCATAGCCAGGCTGAGGCAGGAGGATCACCATGAGTTGAGGCCAGCCTAGGCTACATAGTGAGACCCTGTCTCAAAAAGCAAAACAAAACTCTTGTGCCCATACTAATCCCCTTGAGAAGAAAATAAGAATGAGCCTGTTTTTCCAGCATAAGCTCAGGGAGAACTTCCTTTCCTCAAAATCTGCCAGGTTTATCAGGGAAAGGGGATCCTGGCAGACAGACACGGTGGTACAGGATTATTATCCCAGCACCTGGGAGGCTGAGGGAGGAGGGTCACTGAGAGTTCAAGACCAGCCTGGGGGGGCTGGGGATTTAGCTCAGCGGCAAAAGCGCCTGCCTGGCAAGC